TGGGGAACCCTCTGCCACTCCACACTGCTGTCTCCATATCAGAGGCAACAGCACAGAGTGGTATGTGGGAGCTGGTCCACAAGGGGAGATGGTTTAAAAACCTGCTCCCCTCATGGACCGGCTGCCTGTCACTCTGTGCTGCTGCCTCCTGTCTGGAAGGGAGGTCTGAGCTCCTGGACCCAGAGCAAGCCAGAACTGAGCTGGGCTGCCTGTCTGCCTGGCTCTTAATACACTTTAAATGCAGAACTGCAGCATGGGTAAGTCCTGGACCTGGCGTGTGCTGGACTGCTGGCCAATCTACTAAAAAATTTACTCGGTGGGGCAGAGCGGGGGAGGGAGGGGGAAATAAATGCATGTAGTCTATAGCATTAACCTATAAACTTTTGCTTATGAATTAATCAGTTAATTGACTACACTATTACATCCCTACCCCAAGGCCCTGCCCTCACTACACCTTATCCCTGGAGGCCCCTCCATCTGCTGTGGAGATGAGCGAAGGGCAGGCAGGTGAGCAGCCAGCAGGTTGGGGACCAACATGGAGAGGAGTAGGGAGGCAGGAAAGGCCTGAGTGAAGAAATGGAGAGGGGCAGGAGGACAGAGAATGTCTCAGGAGAAGAGGCGGAGAAGAGCAGGAGTGTTGGTGACTTTGGGGGAAGAAGCAAAGAAGAGCAAGTGGGAATGGAGTTTGTTGGAGGAGGAAGAGAAAAGGTGGGGCTTCTGGATTTCCCTCCATTTACAGCAGGGAACAGGAGCAAAGGTGGGATAGATGCCAGATGTCTCCCTTAAGAGCTGAGATCACAGAGCCACATTCAGCTCTTATCTGACAGGGACAGCTAAGGTGGATTCGACAGTAGCTTTACTGGGTGGAGCCCTGTCATTGGCCAGGATGGACAATGTCTGAACTTTTCCTTCTCTGTGCTAAACAAAGAACTTACTGGTGCTCTGTTCTAGCTGACTTATAAAATGCAGTATTTGTTGGAAATTCGCACTGGCATGCAAAATTCGGGCTTCAGAGCCGCATAGCAACTAATAGGGATTATTATACTTTCCATATTTTTACTACTCAAATTAATCTTCATTCAGTGTTCAGAAGTGAGCTAGGCACTTTGGAAATGTACAGCCACAAAGAACTTGCAATAGACAACATAAGGACCACCAGGACTGGGAAAAACAGAGATGCAACACAAGAATGTTGCTTGTGAAGTGAGGGCAGGGCCTTGGGGTAGGGATGTAATAGTGTAGTCGATTAAGTCTTAAGCACCATTTCTTCCCTTGCTCCGATGCTCTCTTGTTTTCATTCCACTTATTTTGCACCTAGTTTATGTGGTTATAAACTTAACAGAACATTCTCCATTCTATCCAGTTATGGGAAAGAAAACCACTGGGTTGTCACTGCAAATATTAGCTGAGGTATACTGATCCCCGAAGGGGGTGCAAGTCTGTCCAAGAGTCTGTCTCAGTTGGGTTTGTGGATGGAAACTGGAGAGCTGGACTGCTGGAACTTGTTACAACAGAGTACTTCATAACTCTGTGATAGCCTTGTAAAATTTCCAGCAACTTTCACTATTATGGGGATGGCATTAAGGATGTTAAATTGCGGTTATCTGGCTAATCGTGTCATCTATACAATTTGTATCGATGAAAGAATTAGTCAATAACGACCTCTCTGCAGAACTGCAGCTGAGGCAGTTTCAGGATCTGGCTTGATTGGGAACGGAGCAGTCCTGGCTCGTGCTGGCTCCGGGAGCCACCTGCGCTGCTATGGCTCTGCATTTTAAATGTAGTAAGAGCCACTGGACTCTTACCATATTTAAAATGCAGAGGCACCGCGTCCTGGCCAGAGCAAGCTGAGCCTGGTTGGTCCTGACTCATGCTGAGTCTAGCACCCCTATTCACAGTGGCCAGGGCTTGTCGCAGACAGAAGCTGCCTTTGCCTACGGCAAGCCGTGACCTGCCATGGGCAGAGAGCTACTTCACAGCAGCTTCCCCTATCCCCCAGCTGCTGCCTTTGATAGAGGCAGTGTAGCGGGGGCGGGGTGGGGGGCAACACTGTGGAGATGGTGTTGGGGGAAACAGGCTTTGCTCGTGGGGGAGAGAGGCAAGCAGTTGTTACTCCAGTTGACTACCCGATAAATTTTTGCTTATCGGGTAGTCGACTACTCACTAGCAGCCCTAGATGGCATTGCATGTGCTATGACTGTACAGACTGGATAGAATATATAGTGAATTTTGTAGCTTTTATAAAAATAAATTTATACAAATCTAATTTTTCAAGATACTAAGTAAATTAACATAACCATTGTTATTACCAGTGGCAAGACAAAGAAATAAAAACAAAAAACATCTGTAATGTTTGGTTTTCATGCTGCATACTTACCTTCCTAGCAAAGGTCCAGGTGAGGGATCATGGTAGTTGCAAATGTAGGCTTAAATTTACCATATTGGCCATGCTCTGCTCGGCTCAAGCTGGGATTTGGACTTGGGCAGAGGCAAGAATGACATGAAATGCTGATATGTATGCTGTATGTAGATTGTAAATATTAATATTATTTTACAGATTTTTAGAGGTATATTTACATTTTATATAGATAGTGCACAAGTTCAATGAAACTTTTATAATGCACCATAACATCATGTATACTCTCACTCTGTGTACCACAGAAGCCGCTTATAAATGAAGTTGATTTTGACATAGATCACGCTGCAGATTGAGTGCATTATAATGGAGATTTCAGTTCCTTGTGCTGCAGCTCGATAACCCTTTACATACGTAATCCAGATAGTGGTCACAGTGGTAGTGTGTGTACACATACTGTATATAGTATGCTATAGAAAAAATGTAAAAGAAGGAAGGAGATGAGATTCTAAATAATAAAAAACAATACAGATTACAAAGCAATGTATTTCAAATGTGAATTAAAAGGGCTTTTTGCCTACCCCTGACCAGGTGAAAGACATCTCTCTATTTCTGCAGATGGTGACATCAATTTAACTAAAGTAGGGTGGAGAGCTGGGTTTCGTATACTGTTTATGGTGGTGGTGCTGGTGGCAAAAAGCGTAAAATGGGAAGATGCCAATATATTAAATTTGAGATATTGTGGATAAACAGAAGAGGACATTACTATAGTGCAGTGGTGAGCACTCCATGAAGGTTATGTGTGTGGCCCACTAAACATTTTGTTTATTGTTGCCTATGTGCAGGGTTGTCAGAGTCCGCAAGCGCACATGAAGTGAGGCGCATGCTGATTTGGGACACTCCACAAATTCTATGTATGCAAGTACAGTTTGCAAAACTACCTTGTCCCAGGAGACCATCTTGGTTACGACAATCTTGAAGGCCACTGAGATGAAGGAGGACTATTCATGCGGCCCCACTCACTAGCTTAAGTTGCCCATCACTGCTTCAGTATATATTGATCAGTTGGCGATTTCAGATTGAGCCTCTTCAGATTTCAGGTTTTAAGTTAGCCTCTTGACTGTTTAACAGGATACGTCATATGCACATTGGAACCACACAGAGCGAGTACATCACTGACATGCAGTCCTTTTTGCAGTGAATGATACTGCATTGCATAGTTGCTGGAGAATTCAGCAGTGAAGGTGTTAAAACATTTACATTCATTTTTAATAAGAGAAAGTATTTAGTTTCATAACTTTGTTTATTCTCTTAACTTTTATTCCAATTCATTATCCCAGACTAATATTTTTTCCTATTTTTTCAAGAATTTTTTATAAATTGAACTGACCATTTTATTTTATTAGGTAAAGAATACACGAGGGGAAAGGGCATGATTGTTAAATAATCTGAATTTTCTCTGCTGTGCATTGTGTAGGGAGTATATACACATTAATATTATGGTTTAAAAATCGAGAAGAAAGGAAATGGATACACTGTATACTTACCTATTTGTTCTTCCAAACGTATTTTTTTATAAACAGGAATGAAGGAGGATGTCGAGGGGAAAAGCCTTTTCTTCTTATGTCACCCTATTATAATCTTCCTGATTTTTCCCCTCAATGATCACATAGTTTCTGTTCATTATATTATTTATTATATTGTTCCAGGAGCTTGATTTTCATGTTAACGGAGATTACTTGGACATTATGAGTTCCTAAAACACTGCTAACTGTTAGCATTGCCTGTTTATTTTGTGTAGCAACTCTTTCATGTTCGAGGGAGATCAGATTATTTACTAATAGCAGTATGCTGATCATACATTGATACTGTAGATAGCCATCATTTTGTTTTTATGTAAGGAGCAGATGAAATTTGAGAATGCATCTCATATATTGATATCTATATTAGTTAAGTATCTCATACATTACTCTGTGTGTGTGTGTGTGTGTGTGTGTGTCTGTGTGTAATAATTCAAATGTGTAGTTCCTCTTTGAATGCAAACACTGTTAGAAAAACTCCATCATGACATAGATAATTACCTGTGGTTTTTGTATTTTTCCCCTACCTTTTAGCTAGCCGTGAGGTGGTTGGAACACAACTGTCGTTATCAGTACATGGATGAACTTCTCCAGTATGTCCGCTTTGGCCTTATGGATGTGGATACACTACATACTGTAGCCCTTTCTCATCCTCTTGTCCAAGCTAGTGAAACTGTAACAGCACTTATTAATGAGGCCTTGACGTACCACCAGAGCGTCTATGCACAGCCAGTTTGGCAGACCAGACGTACCAAACCTCGCTTCCAGTCAGACACTCTTTACATTATTGGCGGGAAGAAACGTGAGATCTGTAAAGTAAAAGAACTCCGATACTTCAATCCAGTCGATCAGGAGAATGTTCACATAGCAGGGATTGCAAACTGGAGTGAACTAGCTCCCATGTCTGTTGGGAGAAGTCACCACTGCGTAGCTGTCCTGGGAGACTTTCTGTTTGTAGCTGGTGGAGAAGTTGAGCATGCCACAGGGCGTACTTGCGCAGTAAGGACTGCCTGTCGGTATGACCCCCGTAGTAACTCTTGGGCCGAGATAGCTTCAATGAAGAACTGCCGGGAACATTTTGTATTGGGAGCTGTTGATGAGAACCTCTATGCAGTAGGGGGAAGAAATGAACTGCGTCAAGTTTTGCCTACAGTCGAGCGGTATTGTCCCAAGAAGAACAAGTGGACCTTTGTTCAGTCCTTTGACAGATCCCTTTCATGTCATGCTGGATCTGTGGTGGACGGACTTCTTTGGATATCAGGTAGAAAACGTTTCACACAATTTGAGGTACTAACAAAATACCAAATTATTGTCATGAATTAAACCAATAAGTTTACTTTGGTTTACATGTCTGGAAAGGTTGGGCTAAGCCTTTATTTTAGATCAGCGATGTTGAGACTGACACTCCCAAGCTGCAGGTGACTCTTTACTGAGAATCCTGGGGCTCATTGCAACACATGATATTAAAACACTGTGTGACTGATTTAACAACTAGTCAGGATGCTTTTCCTAGCTATTAATCAATTGTAGTGGATAAAATAATAATACAGTAAAACTCTATTAGTCCAGCATCCAATGCTCCGGGACTCCTGATGGTCCAGCACCATCAGGAACCCAGAAGTGCTGGGGCAGCCAGACAGGCTTCCCCCATTCAGCTGCTGCTGAAACTGACCAGCAGCTGAATCGGGGAAGCTGGGAGCAGAGCAGCTGGGGTGCTGCGGGGTTGGTCTTGTAGCGCCACCCCTCGGCGCTGCGGGACCAACCCAGCAGGACCCCAGCAGCTCTGCCCCAGGTGTCCCCAAGTCAGCCGCTGCTGGAA